ATTTTATACTAATTCGGATATTTTCTACAACTTTTATTAAAGAAATTTTTTGAAAATCAGGGTCCGGATCCGGCATTTTTCAAATAGCGAACTCTAATCGAATTTATTTTGAGATAAATTGAAATAAATTAAAATATTTTTTTTAATTTTGAAATAAATTTTCCTATGAAAAATCATGGAGGATGGTTGAAAAATAATACTCCCCCCTGAATTAGCACTCCCCCCTTAAATAGTACTCCCCTTTGGAGGAGGGTTGAAAAATAGTACTCCCGGGAGTACTATTTTAGGAAATACGGTAGTCAATTATTTTAATATTTACTCAAAAATTTAAAAAAATGAAAAAAAAAACAAACTCAATATGTTGAATTTCAGGATTAGCCTTTCCACCGTTCAAAAGCTCAAGATTTTCTGAATCTGGCATTGACAGTATTGGAAGAATTAATAAATTAATTAATAATAAAAAAGAAGTTAATTTTACAATATTTAGACAAACCATTTTTTAGGCTTAAATTTATTTTTAATTAAATTAATTTAAATAATGACTTTATGAAACAAAGTAATTTCTCTGACTATTTTAAAAATATATTATTTCTATCCCGAATCCTGAGGGCACGTTTTTCGGGGAGCGTTGAAGGATGACTGCCAGAATAACACTCACAATTTATTGTCAGTCATCCTCCAACGCTCTCCGAAAAACGAGCCCTTATTTATTCTCAAAAGAACAGCATGAAGTCACAAAATTAGTTAACTATGAAAATAATGTCAAAATAACATTTAACTTATTTTTTTAATAAAAATAATTATTAGGAAAATTTTTATTTTTTAAATTAATAAAATGCACAAATATTTTTCAATTTCCCAATGTTTAATAATTAGAGATTGTGTGAATATTATTGCCTAACCAGTTTTAAACACAATTAATGCCTTGGGGCAGCCTCCAGGCTATTACGGGGATCGAATGTCGGGGCTGAAAATGAAATTATTTGGATAGTTTGAAATTATTATGTATATCTTTTACAAAATCCAATGTTTTTGGTGACTCACGCCTCGCTTCCTCATTTTTTCCTTTTCTCAAATCCAGTCTTCTGCTTTTTAAATATGAATTTGTTGGCCTTGATATTCCTTTTGGGACTTGATTTACAGGAAAAACGAGTAATTTGTCAGATCGAATTTAAAAAAATCAGAACTAAGGAAAACTAAAAGTATAATTTTAAATACTTTTTTTAAAAGTAATAAATCTGTCTCTTTTAAGTAAAAAGTAAAATCACTTTTTGAAATCATCTTTAAAGCCCTCAATTCATTTCATTGAAATAAATCTATTTTGTCTCAAATCAGTAACAAAAAAATAAAAAGTTAACGCGCAGTGTTTTTATTAAAAAATAAAATGATTTATTATGTCAAAGTTTTGAAAAAAATTTTTTTGTTTAATATAATAAAAGAACTGGTTATTTTGTTAAATTTTTAAGTAAAATATGATACTTAACAAAAAGGTGAGTAAGTCGAGTAAATTTAGTAAGAAATAAAGAAGTTTTTATTTTTAATTTAAAAAATGAGTCATAAAAGTAAAATAAATTTATTTTTAATAAAATGAAGGAAGTTACAAAATTGTTTTTTGGAAAAAAATTGAAGGAAAAAAAAGAAAATGATTTTAATTAAGAAGGTCTGCTTATTTGCTAGTACTTAAAAGTTAATTTACGAGTACATAAAAATATCGAATCCTTTTTATGTTTTTCATCACAATTTCGAAAATCAAAAAATGGTTATCTTGATAAAGTAAAGCAGCTTGGCTATAGCTATTTCTCTCCTTTATTCGGCGGCTACGATTCTTCAGTAGACCGGACCGATGTGTTATTACTGCCTTATGCTACGCTTACATAAAAATCGCGCGCGACACGCGACAGTCGCTAGGCGACATGTCGCCGGCGACAATCGCTAGTTGTGTGCTTACATAAAATCGGCGATTTCCGCAAAAGCGACTGTCGCAAAGCGACAAAACGCTATTTTTATGTAAGCACAAAGCAGCGACGTCGCTAGGCGACATGTCGCCTAGCGACGTCGCAAATCGCGCGCGATTTTTATGTAAGCACAAAATTATTAGATTTTTCTATCTTTTTCTTCTATATTTTCTTTATTTATTTATCTCTATTTTTCACGTTGGTGAAAGTCAGAGTACTGTAATGTATAGGACAGTTCGTTGCCACTATTTTATTGTGGCTTTTATATTGTGGGTTTTTTTTCGATTTTTCCATTGATATTAGAGTTAGGAACGGGTCCGGACCTGTTTCCGGGTCCCTTTTCCCGTTTTTTTGAACGGGTTTTCACGGTTTCCCGGACCCAGTCACCAGGAAACCGTACTTTGATATTAAATTTTTGAAGGAAAAGGAATATTTATAATTTCCACTATTTTCTTTAATTGGTCGATGGTTGAGTGGTTATGTTTACTGACTTCACTCATCTAGTTATCTTGATAGGGATTCTCTCTCTCTTAATCCCTTAAATGCCTTGATTTTCCCCAAAATTTTTTGCCCATAACTTTATGGGACGAGCCCTGCTCATCAAGAAATGGTCACTTTTTCGTGTTTTTGGTATCATTTGATAGAGAATCAAAAGCTTTACAACATATAAAAAATTCAGAATTTTTGACCGATTGATAAAAAGTTATGATAAAAATACTCGATAGCATACTGAAAATCTCAAAAATATCGAAAAAAAAGAATATTTTTTTCAAAAAGTATACCTTTTTCAAAATCAATTTTGACCCATAAGATTTAACTTTAAAAATATAAAATTTATATTGATCGATAGAGAATAAACTGAACTTTCAGAATCTTTTTAAATTTTGAAAATCGGATCAGAATTGATCGAGAAATAGCATGTCGCAAAAAAGTGTCGCAAAAAATTCAAACATGTTTGAATCAAAAAAAGTGTCGCCGGCGACATGTCGCCGGCGGAAATCGCATTTTATGTAAGCACACGAAAAAGCGACAAAATCGCGCGCGACATGTCGCCGGCGGAAGTCGCGGTTTATGTAAGCACTCAAAAAAGCGACAAAGTCGCGCGCGACAAGTCGCCGGCGGAAGTCGCTTTTTATGTAAGCACGCAAAAAAAGCGACAAAATCGCCGGCGACTTTTCTCTCCTCTTTTTCCATTATCTTTTCTGTCGCGTGTCGCGCGCGATTTTTATGTAAGCGTAGCATTAGGAACTAAATAACTTATGCTTTACAATAAATACAGTCGTCGACATAAAGATAGGGACAAGAGTAATTTAAATAAAAGTTAACTATTTTTCGGTCAAAAAATACGTTCTAAATAGCAATCGAAAGCTCTATTTATATCTCAGTTGACATGTTTCTGCATTTTTCATGAAAATGAAAATTGCCCGAGATAATCCGGATCTGCCGGATATACCAAATCCCACAGACTCGGAAAAAATTTTGGGAACAAATTTAACAAACCCATTTGATAAAGCATATTTTTCTGAGTATATACCACAAAACCGCTTAAAAATATCTCTTTCCGGACCAGAGATATGATTTTTTGAAAATGGCATTTTTCGCTTAAAAATTGAATTTTTTGCAAAAATAGACGAAAAATGCCATTTTCAAAAAATCAATCTCTGGACCGGAAAAAGATATTTTTAAGCGGTTTTGTGATACATACTCAGAAAAATATGCTTTATCAAATGGGTTTGTTAGATTTTTTCCCAAAATTTTTTCCGAGAATATGGGATTTGGTATATCCGGTAGATCTGGATTATCTCGACCAATTTTCGATTTCATGAAAAATGCAGAAACATGTCAACTGAGATATAAATAGAGCTTTCGATTGCTATTTAGAACGTATTTTTTGACCGAGAAATAGTTAATTTTTATTTAAATTACTCTTGTCCCTATCTTTATGTCGACTACTGTAGTTATTTGAAATTAAATTAAAATTAAAGCAGATTTATTAATAAAAATTTAATAAATCTAGAGGGCTTTTAAAGATTTATATTGAAATGTTAACAGACTATGAACAGGCTATAAGATTATGTTGTAACTCTCAAATATTTCAAGAAGAAGCCAAGAGTCGTTGAACCTTGACTACCCGAAAATTTATTAACTGGGAGAAATTATTACATAAAATTCTTGACAATCCTTCAATTTAATTAATTTTTTATTCAAAATTATAAAAATAATATGCACTATAAAATTATTTGTATGTTATTAAATAAAAAATTTTATCCTCTGAAAGCCTTAGAAAGTAAAGCAGCACCACCTCCAATTAAAGCGCCTGCTCCAACTGCCTTCCAAAATGTGCCTCGGCGTCTTCGTTTACTTAAAAAATTTTTAAAAAATATTTTTAACTTTAATTATTTTAAAATTTTAAAATTACCTTAGCAATCTAATTTGTTCACTATTTTCGTTATTCAATACAGAAACATCCAATTTATTCTCCACATTTGCCTTTTCAGCCAAAAATGCTGGAACCAAAATAAAATTAATTAAAAGAAAAATTTTAATATAAAGTGAAAACATTTTATTTATTGAATATTTGGAATTATTTAGTGAATGGTCGGTGGTTGTTTATGTGGGACTGCAAAAATTGTTAATTTTACTGTTAATTTATAGAAAAGGATTGTGACTGTAATTAATTAATTTTTATTTATTTAATTTTTAAAATAGTAATTTTTGGTTTTTGTTGGAATTTAGTAAAGATAATAAACGTTTTCACTTAATTTTTGTACTATTTACGTCATTAAAGTTTATAATTATTTTTTTGTGTTCTATATGTACAGTCAAATTGTATTTAGATATTTAAATCCATATTTAGCTCGTTTCACCTTTTTATGGTATTTAAAAGTTGAAGCCATTTATTCTCAAATTAGGAAAAGTTAATTTAATATTTTAAAGAATTTTTAAATAATTTTTCAATGGAAGATAAAACAAATTTATTAAATTAAATTATTTATTACATAGAAAAATCAACAAAATAAAAACATTGAATTTAAAATACACAATTTAGCCTCTTAATGCTTTAGCAGCTAATACAGCACCACCTCCTACCAATGCTCCACCTGCCACTCCTTTCCAAAACCCACGGCGTGCTCTTTTACTGAAATTTTAAGATAAAATTATAATTAATTAATATTTATATTTTCGAGTCAAATAAAAATTTGTGAATTTTCAATAAAATTAAAAAAAAAGAATTTTTTGCTAAAATACAGGAAATATAAATTAAAAATTAAAGTTAGTCTTTATCTAAACTCGAAATAAACCGAGAAAAGAACCACAAAATACGAATAAAATTTGGTAATTTATCAAAAGATATTAATTAATTACTTATTTTAATTTAGTATTAATTCAAAAATTAATTTTGCTTTACCTAATTTCCAAAAAATATAAAAACATGCCAAATCATAAAAATTAAGCAATTTTGATTTTTGATAAAAATTAAAATAATTTTAAATATTTTACAAACATTTCTGTCGCTCTAACTTTCCCAGCATCTTTACTCGCAACAACTGGAGCAGCAACAGCATCATTGTTTGAAGCCAAAATCATTGGAGTCAAAATTAAATTAATTAAAAGGAAGAAAGAAATTAAAGATGAACGGGAATACATTTTATTTTTAAAAATATTTTTATTTTTTAATTAAAGAGAAAATTTTGTTTATTTGAGAGAAACTGTTGATTTTACAGTTAATTTATAGCAAAATATGTTTAACAGTAAAATAGGGGAATTAATTAAATTAATTAATTTTTTTGTGTATAATTTAGCGAATTATAAAAGGAGTTTTTTCTGTTTTCATTTATATTAATGTTTCCTTAAGAAATTAAACTTAAATGGATCATAAGGTGATTCATTCAATTTTACATTTTATTCAAAAAATAAACAAAGATAAAGATGTATTACGATATAACGAACAATCTAACAAACTTTTCTGTGGTTATCGAGATTCGGTTATATCAGGGCTTCGATTTCTGCGGATTTTTCCTCATTTTGTGGTTTTTTGACAGGGCGATGAGGATTATTTTTTAAAATGCGGATTTGCTGATTTTTGTGGTCTTTTGAAGATTATGAGGATTTTTTATATTTTCATGTGGTTTTTAGCATAAAATGTCATTATTTTTTGCCAAGACCTTTAAAATCCTCAAAATTTTCGTTTGCGGCGCTGAAAATGACAGAAATTTGGCTTCTTGGCCTTCCGAAATCCTCAAAATTTTTGCCTACGGCGCCGAAAATGCAAGAAATCTTGCTTCTTTGTCTTCAAAAATTCCCAAACTTTTCGCCTGCGGCGCTGAAAAAGGACGATTTTGGCTTCTTGGCCTTCCAAAATCCGCAAAATTCTCGACTGCGGCGCAAAAAATGAAGATTTTTCGAGTAAACAATTCACTACAACTAGAGACGGTGAAAGCATTGGCTTAAGTCGACTGTAATTTTTTAGTTAATTGTTCGGATTTTAATAAGATAGTCATTAGTAGTGAAAAATTGCTCTATTCAATTGTTGGTTTCAAAAAATATAACTCATAATGTGATTTAATTCAAGTTTTGTGTTTGATAATTTTTTTGCGGATTTTTCATATAAAATGCGGATTTTTTCGATCGAAATTGCGGATTTTTAAAAATTCGAGATCGAAGCCCTGGGTTATATACAAATATGATCTTTAAAAGATTATTTAAATAATTTTATTTTTTATAATTTTATAGATAGATGTGCCCTGTCGCATTTCAAAAATCAGAAGATTTTTATTTGAAATTAAGCTCTAGTGTGGCAGATAGATCAAATAGAAGTTCTAATGAACTTCTACAAATATTTGAAATTTATTGTAATAAAATTTATGCAAAAATAATTGTTTAATAAGTAATCTATTTAGGTACATATTTAAATTTATTTTTTATTATTTTAAAAAATTGTCTAAACACTCTCTCAAATTTTTTTTTCTTTATATAACTCAGCTGCTTTTTGTTGTTTAATCTTTTTTATTTCTTTGGATTGCTTTAATGAAATTACAAGCCCCAACAAGGGAAACATTAGTTCGGAAACAAGGCTTACTTCTTTTTTCCCTTAAAAATAAAATTTAAATAGAATTAAAAATTGAAAACCTATTAATTATAGTAGATATTCCAGGCATTAATTCTTCTTCTTCTTTAATTGTTAAACCAACGCTTTCTTGCATAACTCGAGCGTTTAAAGTTGCTGGTAGAACAAAAAGATTAACAAAAAGAATAAAAGAAATTAGGATTTGACGATACATAGTTGTTTATTAATTCTTTAGATTATAAATATATTTTGGGATTTTTAGGTCACACTCCCCGAAGTTTACATACGCCTGGTAGCAATTCCTAGTTCTATTCAGCAATAGAGAGTTCATGCCAAAATTCGTATTCGTACTTATAATCTTTTCTCAACTTTATTTATTTTTAAAATTTTATTTAAAAAAACAAATTAGATATTATTGAAGATATTAAAAAATAAAATTCAAAAAATGGCTAGCCAATTTTATTATTCCATAATTTTATAGCCGAAAGTATTCATTAAATTTAATTAATCAACTTTAAAATTTAAAAAACTGATTTGAATGAATGTGTTTAGTTTAATTAAGAAAAACCTGTTAAAAATGTGAGATATTTTTTATTTATTATTTTTTATTCTGAGTCTAATCTACTATACAATTTATTTTTCATAAAAGTTCTACAAAATATTAGTTATTACTATTTTAAGATATATTTTCAAACATCTTTTTATTTTCTTCACTTTCCAGCTGCTTTATTTTTTTCCTTTATTCGTATGCATATTTTTAGCAATAAGTACACCACTCATCATTGAGCCGCTTAACGCCGCCTTATTAAGTCGTCTCTTCCTTTAAAGATAAAAATGTAAATTGAATTAAAAGTTAAAAACCTATTAATTATAGTAGATATTCCAGGCATTAATTGTCCTTCTTCCTCAATTGTTAAACCAACTTTTTCTTGCATAACTTGGCCATTTAGAGTTGTTGGGAGAACAAAGAGATTAACAAAAAGAATAAAAGAAATTAATGCTTGACGATACATAGTAATTGTTCTTTTTAAATTCTTTAAATTATAAATATATTTTGGAATTTTTAGGATACGCTCCCCGGCATCTGGATAGCAACTCCTAGTTTCAATCTGTGCTTGGACACTCTTGTCAACATTTGTACTCGTACCTAATACGAGTAAAAATAAAAATTGCCAAAAATGGAAGGCGGTACGATGTATGAGAGCAAATTTATTTACTTTTAAAATTTATTTTAAAAATAACAAATTAGGTAGCTGTGAATATATTAAAAAATAAAATTTAAAAAATGACTAGCAAATTTTATTATTCTATAATTTTATAGCCAAAACTATTCATTAAATTTAATTAATCAACTTTAAAATTTAAAAAATGATTTAAATGTTTGTGTGTATGTATGTATGTACATAGTAGTTTAATTAAGAAAAACTTGTTAAAAACAGGAGATATTTTTTATTTATTATTTTTTATTTGAGTGTAACGAACCAAAAAAATTTTTTTTCTTCTTTTTTCTTTCAACTTTAAAGTCAAAACTTTCAAGCCTACAACTTTTAGTTGTATAAATATTAATATTTTTATTAAAATTTTTCTAAAAAATAAGAATTGCACGTAAATATTGTTATTATTTAATTTAAATTTTTTACATTTATCACGCAACATTAAATGAAATTTCTTTGAGTATTTAAGTAAATTAATTCAATGAGTCATTAAGTTTTCGAAAATTTATTTTTTATAATACTAACAATAAGTCATATATCCATTAGAAATGGAAATTTATCTTTTACGCCGAGCGGAATGGGAAAAATTTTACAATTGTAATCTAATTAATGTTGATGATGTACCTTTTGCTGAACGTTTTCATCCTTTAAATAGAATAATTATTATAGGGCTTTTTGTAAAGTTTTGTCTTGCGTAAGGAGGTAGTTTGTGCATCCGTGCGTGATCAATTTAAAAATCGAGGGATTAAAGAGGGGAGATCAAAATTTTCGCCTGCGGCGCTGAAAAGGATGGCTAGGTGTATATGGAGCTTTTGATGGGAGAATTTGCCTTCAGAAGGATTTGGCCTTCAAAAACTTGGGTGTTCCGTAGGGTTTCACCGGAACCGATTTGACCGGAACCGGAACTTCCGGTAAAATAAATTGTTTAAATTTGTGTTCCCACTTTGCCTTCAAAAATTCGCAAAATTTAAGTTAGCGGCGCAAAAAGAGAGGGATATAAGAGGCGGATCTCGTGATCACCTTTCGACGATATCCTAATCTGACTATATCCCAATTAATCCCCCGAATTTAATTATCTCTATACTACATACTAGAATTTCATAAAATTCGTTTAATATTTGAGGATAATTAATATAGGTAATTCAAAGAGAAGCTTTTGTACAATTTTTTAAATGGGGGCCGTACTAATAAAAGGGGCCGTAATAATTGAGGGGCCGTACTATTTTTAACTAGAGTTGGACAAGTCGAGATCGATATCGATATATCGGTCTCGAATATCGGTCTTTTTCCAATATCGATATCGGTTTTATAGATATCGATCTCGAAATCGATACCGATATATCGACCCAAATATCGACCGATATCGATATTAACCTTACACCCCTAAAGATTGCTTTTTTTCAAAGAAATGGAAGGAATCTGGCCACTCGCCCTTCCAAAATTATAAAAATTTTCGCCTGCGTCGCTGTAAAAGAAAGAAAAAACCTTAACTTTCGGAATTGCCTTAACTTTTCCTAACCCCTAGATTTTAAACGGGGTATATCAAGCTTCTTGGCCTTACGAAATCATCAAAAATTCGCTTGCACCGCTGTAAGTAGGATCGTCACTGAAAGTATGATCGCTGTAAGTAGGATTTATAATCCTCTAGGATCGTCACGGGTTGAGATAAAAATCCGAAATAAACTATTTAGGTGTAACAAATGATACATGGGATTTGGGAAAATTAGAATGGATATCAAGCGAAGATTTTGATTCAGGGTCCTGGTATCCGTGGATTTCAGTTCAATATTGGATCCGGATAAGGTGTAATTCGGATATGGACTTCGCATGGTGTAGTGTGATTTCTCCAGTATACGATTTAGGCAGTGAAGATTTTTGGGTTAAGTATCTTCCAAAATTTTAAAAATTTTTGCCTGCGGTGCTGAAATTGGAAGATTTTTGGCTTAAGGATCTTCCAAAATTCTCAAAATTTTCGCCTGCTGCGCTAAAAAAAGGAGATTTTTGGCTTAAGGATTTTCCAAAAATTTCAAAATTTTCGCCTGCGGCGCTAAAAAAGAAGATTTTTGGAGTGTTGCGCCGGTAGTTCCTGTTCCGGTAGACCAGAAGTTCCGGGATTTTTTGTTAAACATTTTTCTCTGTTCTCTTTAGGTTAGATTAAGGTTAGTATTATTATTTCAATGAATTTTCTGGATTTGAGGGGTAATAAAAATTTTTTTTAAAAATATTGGTTAATATCGAATATCGATCTCGATATCGACTCAAAACTTGCATATCGATATTGATCTCGACCATGTCAATATCGACCAATATCGATATCGGTTTTCTCCTAAAATATCGATATCGTCCAACTCTATTTTTAACCCTCCTCGAAAGGTTGAACAGCAAAAAATATTTCAGATAACTTTACCTTTAATTAATAAAATAATTAAAAATGTGAGAACTTTTTTTTTCTTGTTTACATTTAATTTAAATTTATACTTTAAAAAATTTTTTTGCATGGGAAAATTTTGTTGGCTTGTGTATGTAACTATGTAGATTTAAAAATTTTTTTAATAACTCTATAGACTTTCTCAATTATATACATATTTATCCAAATAAATTGTTTAAATTTTATTTTTGTTACAACCCAAGGTGTCCGAGATTTAACTAATGTCGACGTGCACTGCATCAGAATTAGAGTTCAGCGGGATCGGGATCCCGGTCGGGATCGGGCGGGATTATCCCGGGTTTTTCAAATCCCGATCCCGATTTTTCTGATCCCGCTCCCGAAATATATATCCCGATCCCGATCCCGGCCAATCTCAATCCCGAGCCGGGATCCGGGATCGGGATCGGGATGTGCATCAGATCCCGATGCAAATCCCGACTTTATGAATGACTAGAAGTCTGCGAAATAAAGTTAACAGAAGAGGGGAGGCATGAAAGTAAAAAAAAAATGAAAGAAATTTGGCATCTTGACATCCAAATTCTCAAAATTTTCGCCTGCGGCGCCGCAAAAATGAACAAAACTGTCTTTACAACTTTAACAAAATACTGATGATTTGGTGTGATATCGAGGGATCAAGAAGGGTTGAGGGGAGTATCGGTGGATTTGGAGTATAGAAGGATATCGGTAAATTTACATGGATTAAGTTAGATTTGAAGAAAAATGGGTGCTTAAGATATGTTACTAAATGAGTATATCATTTAATCCCTTAATGTTTTAATCGTCCACATTTGAACGTCCACACTTGAACGTTTAGAACTGAATGCCCTTGGCCTTCCAAAATAAAAAATATTTCCTTCGGCGCTTAAAAGGGAGGAAACCTGGCATCTTGGCCTTCCAAATTTTTCAAAAATTTTGCCTGCGGCGCTTAAAATGGAAGAAGCGGCGCTTAAAATGGAAGAAGCGGCGCTTAAAATGGCGGCGCTTAAAATGGAAGAAGCCCAATCCCATTTATCCCCCCTACATACCTTATCCCCCCTTAATCCACTGAACCGCAAAGTAAATTATGCGTTTATGAGACTTAAACTCAATATTTCAGCACTGCAGTGGCAATTTCAGAATTATACTAAGCCGTATGTGAAGGAAATAAAAGTTTAACAATTAAAAAAAAATTTTTTTAGCAAATCCCGATCCCGATTTTTTAATCCCGGTCCCGATTCGGGATCGGGACCGGGATCGGGATCTCCAGTCCAAATCCCGATCCCGATTTCGGCCAATCCCGATCCCGTGTCGGGATCCGGGATCGGGATCGGGATCACCATTGCTAAATCCCGATCCCGGGTTTTTCTCAAAATCCCGATACCGCTGAACTCTAATCAGAATAACAGTTTTCCAATGTAGAAACGAACAAAGAAGGTGAATGTGGAAAGAGCTGGAACATGATCCAACTAGACTGACGCTTACACTGGCTTTTACAATGGCATATTCTACACAGATCCGCCGAAATAATATTATCCATTGATTTTCCACCCGGAGCCCGAAGCCAGCATTGATCATGGGCGTATCATGGAATTTCTTCGGATTAAGAGGGATATAGTCGGATTAAAGAAAATAACTGGGATTTAGATCAGATTCACCGCATTATTGCCAACAAATGCCCAATACCCAGTACTGATAATGAGTAAAAGTATTGTTTTTAGTAAAATTATTTTAGAATACTGTTTTATAAAAATTACTCGATTACTCGATTTACTTGTACTCGAACTCGGCCTAAAAAGTTAAACTCGCACTAGAACTCGGGGTTTTCAAACTCGGCATTACTCGAACTCGGTTATTACCCAATTACTCGGTACTCGATTTACTCTAGTTAAAATTTAAAGGAAAGGAACTTATGGATTTTTCAAATAGCGCTTTTCAGCTGAAACACCCTGTATTTTTATTTGTATTTTAAACACAGGTGAAAATTTTGAAACAGGCAGTTCTTTTCTTTTAAATAAATATTTTAAAATTTTGTCAAAAATATTTACTCTACAAAAAGACTTCTAACTAAAAAAATGTCTTCCGTTTTACTTGATATTTTATTTAAATTTGATTATTTTGTTTGTATATTAATTGGGTTTCCTTTAAATATTCTTCTGATTATTTTAATTATTTTTAAAACGCCAAAAGAAATGAAAATACACAGTCGAATTCTGATACAAAATTGTGTTTTGGATATTTTAATGTTGATTGTTCAATCGCTTCTTCAAGGGGTAATTAAAAAATAAACCAGAAAGTTAATAAAATAATAGAAAAGTCATAAATTTAAAAAATCATAATTTAAAGAGAATAAGTATAATTTTTAAAAATAAGTATAAACCAAAATAATTTTTAATTGAAAATCAGAATTAAATTAAAAAAAACCATAAGTGAAACAAAAATCAGAATTTAAATGATAATAGTTTAATGATGATTGCCTACAGAATTTTTATTTTAAATGAGCTATAAAGAGGAAAGAGAGAGCATTAATTATAGAGCATTTGCATGGTTTAAGCGTGGCTAAGCGAGCACTCTTTCAAATCCTGTCCTGTGGCTAAACTTTTGCTTAACTCTTACCATACTAGAAACTTAATAATTTGAAATGCTCATGCTTTCTAATACCAGAATCAATATAAAATATTAACTCCACATAGATATAATATTTAAATAAACAATTTAAAATAAACACCAGAATTAATATCAATTTTAAAATTTTTTATAGTTTTATATCCTTGATACAGAAGGAAATACAATTACAATTTTTCCTAATGGAATCTTGCTTTGTTTCATGAAAGAAAATTTTAATCCGTTTATTTTTTATATTATTTTTTTAGTTTGGGCATTTATTTTTTATTTAAATTTGCATGGATTGTGTGTTCAATTTATCTATAGATATTTAGTTTTGAACAAGTAAATAAATTAAATAATTATTATGTATTAAATTATTATTAGGAATATAAAAATTACTTTTCGTCGTTATTTATTTATGGTGTCCATTGCTTTATTTGTACAAACATTTTATATCTTGGATAGTATTTTCTTTGTAATGCCATATTCCAATGGAGGTATTAAATATTTTGATAATTTTAACGAAACATGGCCATTTACTCAACATGAAATAGAAACGGTTATTCTTAAATTAATTTACATTTTTTTAAATTTAAAACAAAAATAGGTGAATATTCTAACACTATTACCTCTAACATTAATTGAAATACTTGCATATTTAATAATATTTATCTGTGGATTCAAAATGGTTAGATATGTCAATTTAAATACTAATCTTGATGGAAATTTAAAAAGATTGAATAAACTTTTAACAAAAGTTTTGCTTATTTTGGTAAGACTTTAAATTGTGATAGAGAATATTTTTAGTAGAAATCTAATAGAATTACTGCCATTCTATATTTCAATACTTTCAAAAATTATTTTGTGAAAGATTATGTTCATCCTATTGAAAATATTTATTCTTTTAATTTTTAGGCTTTTGTACCATTTGTTAATCAAGCTGCAATTTTATTTTTTATAATTTATACAAAAACAAGCAACAATACAATAAATATTATTCGAATATTATTTTTCATTTTATTTCATTTAACACCTTTATTTAACCCAATTATTTGTATTTTAACAAACACACCATATCGAAATGCTATTTTTAATCGTTCACAAATAAATCCACAATAAATTTATTAATGCCCAAATCATTTGTAAAGCATATAGCTATTAAATTCTTTAGTATAGGAGGCAAGGTGTAACGGATAACACATCAGTTCGGTCTACTAAAGATACAATAGCTATAGCCCAGTTCTGCTTGAATATATTACAAATATTATATTCTATCAAATAATTGTTTAAAAATAATCTTATAATTATATAAAATTTATTTTTCATAAAAGTTCTACAGATTATTACTTAAAGTTATTACTATTTTAAGATATATTTTCAAACATCTTTTTATTTTCTTCACTTTCCAGCTGCTTTATTTTTTTTCTTTATTCTTTAGCATATTTTTAGCAGCAATAGCGCCAGTGTATTGTCCACCCATCATTGAGCCGTGTAACGCTTTATTAAGTCATCTCTTCCTTTAACGATAAAAATGTAAATAGAATTAAAAATTGAAAACCTATTAATTATAGTAGATATTCCAGGCATTAATTGTCCTTCTTCCTTAATTGTTAAACCAACTTTTTCTTGCATAACTCGAGCGTTTAAGATTGTTGGGAGAACAAAAAAATTAACAAAAAGAATAAAAAAAATTAATGCTTGACGATACATAGTAATTGTTTTCTTTAATTATTTAAATTATAAATATATTTTGGAATTTTTAAGTTACGCTCCCCGATGCCTGGATAGCAACTCCTAGTTTTTTTCAGTACTTAGCACATGTATAAAAAAAATTGCCAAATATGGAAGGTGGTACGAGGTATGAGAGTAAATTTATTTATTTTTAAAATTTATTTAAAAAATAACAAATTAGGTAGTTGTGAATATATTAAAAAATAGAATTTAAAAAATGACTAGACAATTTTATCATTTCATAATTTTATAGCCAAAAGTATTTATTAAATTTAATTAATCAATTTTAAAATTTAAAAAATGATTTAAGTCAATGTGTGTATGTACATAGTTTAATTATGAAAAACTTGTTAAAAACGGGAGATATTTTTTATATTTTATTTTGAGTTTTTATTTGACTGCGACGAAATAGAAGTATTTTTGACTCAAATCATAATATCTTAATAGGTAAAATTCATCGGAGGTTGAATTTGCGATAACGAAAAAATGCTTCGACCTATCCCTTTACCTTTTAAAAAAAGTTTAAATTAAAAACGCCAATCCAAAATGTTTAGGTTTTGTAAAGTAAAGTGAATTGGACAATTCGTCGAAGATCATACTATGGCGTTAATTCTAACGTCTATGAAATAAAAAAGAAATTAAAAAACAACTTCCTATTTTATCATTTGAATACAAAGGCGGCTTATATTTAAATTTTTTTTAATGAAGCTTTACCTAAAAATTAGAGTCAGTTCTACAAATTTTGGAATTCATTCAACTAAAATTTATTCTAAGAAAGCAAAAAATATTACAAATATTATATTCGATCAAATACTTATTTAAAAAACAAACAATCTACAAAAAATTTATTATATATTTATTAGTTGTAGTATTTTAAAAATATTTCCTTCAAACATCTTTTCAAATCATTTTCTTCCAGCTGTTCCAGTTGCTTGTTGTTCTTGATTTTTTTTATAATTTTTGTAAGCCTTATAAGCAACAGCGCCAGCAACGGCCAATCCACCAGCAATTGCTGCGCCTTTTAAAAATTTTGAAACTCTCTTCTTCCTTTAAAAATAAAAATGTAAATGGAATTAAAAAATTAAAACCTATTAATTATAGTGGATATTTCAGGCATTAATTGTTCTTCCTTAATTGTTAAACCAACTCTTTCTTGCATAACTCGAGCATTTAAAATTGCTGGCAGAACAAAAAGATTAACAAAAAGAATTAAAGAAATAAGGATTTGACGATACATATTTTTTTAATTCTTTAAATTATAAATATATTTTGGGATTTTGAATTATAAGTTTAATATGCCGAAATTTTATTTTCAATTTTTAAATTATTAATTATTGGTCACACTTGTATGTATGTACTTTAGGAAAGAGAGTTTCTCCAAATTAAATTTATTTTTAATTTCAGTGTACTCCCTCATCTATTTCAGCTTTACAAACGTCCGTGTAGTAATTTTCCTCCACTTACTTTAAAAATTTATAAAATTTATTTTAAAAATAAATTTATTGAAATTTTTTTTGTCTAATCTTAGACAATAATTAAAATAAATAAAGAATCGTCAATTTTA